TCAGCTACTGAGGGGCGCAGACTCCATTCACAGACCCGAGGAATCCGCCAATCTCCACGGAAACCTGTCTCCTGGACCTGGTGCCCGTTAATACTTCATTTGACTAATTACGTTTCCCCTTGGAACCCAGGTCCCATCCACCTTCCAGGAACACAAGGCAGCAAAAACTTATTGGATTTAAATCCTTCAGCCGACAGATCTTACTTGGCTGAAGGAACTTTTCCCAGAAGAGCAACTGAGACAATCTATTATTGCTGCTTCCCCAAACACACGCAGCCAAGTGAGACCCAGTGAGCCCGAGAAGTGGGTGCCCTTCCCCTATATTGCTGTGGGGCTGGGGGAGCACTGAAGAATGCATACAGAAGAAACAGAGCCCGAGGCGCCCTCCAGGACCCCACAAGCGCCCTTTAGGAAACTCGCTTGAATAATAAAAAGGTCAGCAGTTAAAAGAGTGAAGTCCTGTTCTGCAGAAAGAGGTTAGATCCAAGAGCTTCTTATTTCACCACGGAATTCAGATCACATAAGGAGATGGGAGGATGCCTCTGGCCTCCCTGGGGAGAAAGGCCAGCCCAGAGTGCCCAGGCAATGGTCCCCTCACCTAAGACAGTAGCAGGGAGAAAACAGAAAGTGTGGGGACCCTGAACACAAAGAAACCAACGGCTTCTGTCCAAACACGAGCAGGTGTGATTTGAGAGGGAGAATGGAGATTCAGGAACTCACAGGTCACTCAGGGGAACGGAGCAGAGGAGAGTGCCGTTAGCAGCCGATGGAGAACCCCCTCACATGGGCCTCTCTGCTCATTTGGCCGTCACACCTGTGAAGACAGGAGCCCCGTCCCCCAGGTCTACTTAAGAGCAGCTGGATGACCATGCCTGCCTGCCTTTGGGGATCTTTCAAAGTGGCCTTTTAACAGATGTCCACATTCTCAACAGAGCAGCTTTCCCCCAACACTGGGTATGGGCCTATATTGGTCCATTTTTAGTTACTACAACAAAATACCTGAGACTGAGTAACATTGTAAAGAAAAGAGGTTTATGAGGCCCACAGTTCTTGTCCAAAGTCAAGGGCCCACATCTTGTGATAGTCCTCTTTCTGACAGAGTCCTGAGGCAGCTGAGGGCATCAATAGGCCAGAGATGGGGACAGCATATGTGTGTGACTCTTCTGGACTTTCACTTTCTTCTCTTAAGGCCACCAGTACTCAGTCATAGAGACTCCACTGGTCCACTGGGATGAATTTATCTAATCCTAATCACCTCCCAAAGGCCCACCTTCTTTTTTTTTTTTTTTTTTATAGAATTGGGGATTAAACCCAGGGCCTTTTATCACTGAGCTACATTCCCAGCCCTTTTTGCTTTTTGAGACAGGGACTCCCAGAGTTGCCCAGACTGGTCTCAAACTTGTGATTCTCCTGCCACAGCCTCCCAAGCAGTTGGGATTAGGCCTGCACCACCACGCCTGGTGCCTGAGGCTCCCCTTGGAAACACCCATAATCAGATTAGATTTCCTTTTAACACCTTCCAGGAGGGATTAAATGCCAGCGAGTGAACCCACGGGGACACACTTAGGCCACACCCAGGCCCTAGCATTCTAGCCCCCGCCCCCCTACCTCTAAACCTCCTGTCTTCATAACCTAAGTGACAATGGCTCCATCTCCAACAGTCTCAGGGTCTCAGTTTATCCCAGGATTATTTCAAAAGCCCAGAGCCTCCTCTGAGACTCAAGGCAGACCCCTGCAGCTGTAAACCTGTCCATAAAAACAAGTCCTCTCCTTCCAAGATACCACGGCAGGCCAGGCTGGGGGTGGGGAAACATTCCTATTCCCAAGGAGAGAAACAGGGAAGTAGAAAGAGGAAGCGGCCCCAGGGAAGAGTAAACCTCAGCAGGGCCCATGTCAAATCCCAAAGCTCCAAGTTCAGCATCCCACGCACACTACAGGGAGGGGTGAGTTCCCAAGGCTTTAGTGCGGCTTTGCAGACGGCAGCCGGGATGACTCTCTCATGCAGTTTCCCCGCAATGGGAGCTGCACATTACTGGGGTCCCCCCTGAGGCTCCAGTCCTGTGGTTCCCAGCAGGGGATCTCTGCGTGGCATTCTGCACACTCAGCACCAGCAGCCCCCAGCCCGGACCACGCTGGCAGAGTGCCGTCCTGTGCTGTGCCCCTGGAGGGTGTCTGAGCCCCTTTCCTGACATTCTGCTGCCCTGGAAGGTCTCTGGGCCTGCGAGGGGAGGGCAGCCTCTCTGGACGCCCTGGCCTCCTGTTTCCCATCCTGGTGTGAAGCCCTAGCTTGCTTTTATCCTCACTAATCCTGCAAGGGGTTTCTTGGTCAGGACCCTCACCTGCTTTTCGTAGCTCCTTCCTTGGCCAAGCTGTGTGTTGATTCCAACCCTTTCCATTCTCTTTCCTTTTGCTCTCGAGTCTCACAGTCAGTCTGACCAAAAGCAGCCCACAGTGCCCAGGACACAATGTAAAAGCTTTGTCCTTTTGAACTAGTCCGTCACCATTGGCTTTCACAAAGCCTTGGGGCATGTACACAATGAAGTCAGGGTCTTCACTCCTTCATAACCAGGGTGACCTTTTCTTCAGTCTCCAATTTCCATCTCAGACTGATCCCTATTCTCTCCTCCTGAGCCCTCACCAGACTTTCCGGTAGTGCTCTTCTTATATATAGTAGCATATTTCTAGCTTGCTCCTTCAGCCTCTTCCAATCTCTGTCTGTTATTCAGCTCCAAAGTCACTTCTACATTTTTGGGTCTAGTTAAAGTAATGACCCATTCCTAGTTATAGTACTGACATTCTTAGTACCAATTTTCTGTATTAGTTTGTTTGCATGTTTTTACTACAATAAAACACCTGAGCTGGGTAACGTTATAAAGGAAAGAGGTTCTGGTTAAATATCAAGGACCTGCATCTGGCGATGGCCTTCTTTCTATGTTTTGTGGTACTGGGGATAGATAGAACCCAGGGTCTTGCATATGCTGGGCAAGTACTCTACCACTGAACTGCACTTCCAGTCCTTTCTTAATTTTTGAGACAGGGTCTTAATAAGTTGTTGAGGCTGGCCTTGGACTTATGATCCTCCTGCTTCAGTCTCCTGAGCAGCTGGGATTGCAGGCGTGGGCTACTCTACCTGGCTTGGTGAAGCCCTCCCACTGGCAGAGTCCCGAGGTAGACCAGGGCGTGACAAGGCAACAAACAGAGAGCATATGTGTGTCTCTCCTGGATTCTCTTCTTTTAAAGTCACCAATTTTCTACCAGAGGAACTCTCCTGGGATGACCTAATCCAATCCTCATCACCTCCTCAAGGGCCCAGCTCTAAGCACCAGGGTCAGATCAGGGTTCCAACCTCTTAATAGCTCCCCATGGGGAGTAAATGTCAGCTCCTCAACCCTGGCCACGCCCATGCCATCACGAGTCCTTTGGTGGCACATGATCCTGGTGACCTGGCTCTCTATTGAGTCACCTGCATGTTCACCCATACAGTCAGGCCAATTACTTTTCATTTTTAGGTCCAAGGTACTCCTGAGACACAAATTTACTCCTAATTTCACGTGCCATTCATGAATAAATCATAACGATTTAAGACATCAAGGGCTCATTTTAGAAGCTCATCAACCAGCGTGACACTTCATCTGTCTCATGGGTGGGTCTGCCCTTCCTGGTAACACAGTAGAGAGACATGAAGCTTTTTCACTACCACAGGCTGGAATTTGATGGCTAATTTTGCGCATCAATATTCAGAATCCAGTTGTTTGGTTACAAATCAGTGTGGTGCTGCAGTAAAGGTATTTTTTAAGATGAGACTAACACTTAAATCAGTACACTAATTTAAATCTGGAGTAAGACAGATTGCCCTCCGTGGTGTGCATGGGCCTCATGTAATCAGTTGAAGTCCTTAAGGGCAAAGACAGATTTCTCTAAAAAGGAATTCTCAAGACTGCAGGAATTTTGAACTTGAGACCTCAGGATCAACTCTCCCTTGGCTTTCCAGTCTGCCAAACTGCCCTGCAGATTAAGACTTGCCAGCTCACAATCTCCCGCCTTTTTCCAAATTTGTGCGCGCACAAACACACACACACTAGACCCTGACTAGTAATACAGGCTGGCTCTGACGGGTGGAGCTATCAGACTGCACGAGGGCATCATCTCTTAGCTCCAGACTGCAGGCCTCTAAGTGGCTCTGAACACTCCACATGGAATGCAGCCTTGAGGTCTTGAACTGGCTCCCCACTCTACCTGGACACTCCTTCCCAAGTGTCTGCTGAGTCCCGCCCTCATCTTTTCTAACTCTCTGCCCCACGTGAACCTCACTCCATAAACTCTGGCTTCTTCACAGCATACCCTGCTTCTCCACCTCCCCTCTCTGGTGTGATTTCCTCCTTAGACTTGTCTGCACCTGACACATGACATAAAATTGTCAATCAGTATCCGTGAGGGATTGGTTCCAGGGTTCCCTGCAGATGTCAAACCCCATGCATGCTCAAGCCCCTTAATCAAAATGGTGTAGTGTTTGCATACAACCCAGACACACCCTCTCATAGCTTTAGATCATCTCTAGATGATGCACAATACCTGGTGCCATGTAAAAACTATGTCAATACATGTTACACCATTGTTGAGAGAATAAGAATGGGGGGTGTGCATGTTCAGTGTAGGCAAAAAATTTCCCCCCAAATGTTTTCAATCTCGATCTCAATCCTATTGAATGAATCCGCAGAAGTAGAGCTCACAGACGTGAAGCCCACTGAACTAGTTCCTTCTTTTCTGCTTTCTCATGCCTGCCCGTCCACTGCTGGAAGGTCAGATCATCAGTGTAGAGATGGTGTTGGTCACTGATGCCTCCTTGGTGCCTAGAACAGGGCTCTGCATACAGCAGGTACTCAATAACTGCTCGACTTTCCCTCTGACCCAGATGCTGGCCACTGCAGTGACGTCTTCCCCAGGGGACCCAGGGCCCTAATCCACTCAGCACCTAACTATAAGCAAACAAAAGCACGCACCGAAGGGGGGCAGCCGCTGGGCTTCGGAGGCGCAGGTGTCCCTCTCCTGGGTCCTCCTGCCATAGGTGGCCGAGTAGATGTTGAGGAACTTGGATTGGTGGCAGTGCAGCTTCAGCTCCTGGTCTTCACACACGGTTTTGTTTTTCAGTTCATCTGGAGTGGAAACAAAAGCCGGCGGCACCATCAGCTCCCCTCGGAAGCAACAGGAACGGTGAGCACTGTCCAAGTCCTGGCGCCCAGTCCTCTGAGCTGTACTCAGGACCTGTCTGCCAAGGGCATCTGTGGCCCTGGGAAACAAGTCCTCTGCAGGAAGCAGTGGAAAGTGACCTGCAGACAGCAGGGAGACCCCAGGAGTGATACCAAGGTGCAAAGAACAGACGCCAGGTGAAGGGAACAGAGACCCGGACGCTCGGAGCCTTCCCTCCCCACTCACAGATACCTTGACTGCAGGGCCCTCTAAATGTGGACCTGGGACTCTCACAGGGAAAGACCAGATCTGACCTTCTGGGAGAAGCACCCAGGTAAACCGCACTGCCAATGCCACCATCCGCTTCTCCAGAGACGAAAGAGAAGCAGAGATGCTATAAAAGCAAACTACTAGTACTACTGCTATTATGATATTATTATTATTATTATTTTGCTAGGAAACTGGGCCAAAAGAAGGTGCTGAGTCTGTAAAGAATCCCTGTTTGTGGAAGTGTTAGGAGCTGCCCCACAACCAGGAACCCCAGGTAGGCAAAGTTTGCTTATCTGTTTGCCATAACAAATTCTTTGACTATTATACAGTGACATTATAAGTCCACTGTCAAAAAAATAAAACACTTTATTTTTAATAGCGTATCCCAAAATCATTCAATTAGTGAAAGGTTTTAATAATGATTTTATTTTAAACATATTTGCTAACACTCCAGCCACGAAAGACTGCGTATCCTATATTTCTATTTACAGCTATCCCCACATCATCTGAGCTCCTGCCTTCTAGGCTTTCAGTTACCCACGGTCTGAAAGTAGCCAATGGAAAATTCCAGAAAGATGGACTACATTCCCATAATTTTTATCATAGTAATTGTTATAAATATTTTATTATCATTGTTGTTAAACTCTTACTGTGCCTTGTTTATAAATTAAACTTTATCATAGGTAAGTATGTATAAGGAAAAAAAAATCACATATATTTCAGGCACCCACTGGGGGTCTTGTAACACATTCCCCCTGGATAAAGGGGGACTATGGTGCAGTCACCGTGTGTTCATTGACAAGGGGAATAAATTCTGAGAAATGTGTCACAAGGGAATTTTATCATTGGGTCAGCATCACAGTTACTTCCCCATGTCTAGATGGTACCGTCTGCTACACACCTACGCTATCTGGAATAGATGATTGCTACTAGACCACAAACCCACAGCATGTTACTCTCCTGAACACCACAGGCAATCGCAACACAATGGTAAGTGTGTGTGCACCTAAACACATCCACACACTGAAAAAGCACCGTAAAAATACTAAGTTGATAGGAATTTTCCAGACCCATGGTCCGTTTATGGGACCATTGTCATATAGGCGGCCTGTCACTGACCAAAACGTAATTATGTGACATGTGACTGTCTACACTATATTCAGAAAGGGAAGTCTTCAGGGGCAGGATGTAGATGAGTGGTTTCCTGAGGGGATGTCAGCAAAGAGCAATAGAAAATGGGCACGGGGAGCGTTTTGAGGTGGTAGAAATGTTCTACAGCTGGACTGTGGTCATGGAAGCAAAACTCGGTAGATATAGACTAAAGATCATCAAACTGTGCACTCAAATGCATGATCTGTATGCTACAAAATTATACTGGCCTAATAATATCTTTAACTTATAAACAATAGTAACTGATACTCACTTTTTTGTGTGGGGGAGAGGATACCAGGAATTGAACTCAGGGGCCCTTGAACACTGAGCCACACCCCCAGCTCTATTTTTTTTTTGTATTTTATTTAGAAACAGGGTCTCACGGTGGCTCCCCCCAAAAATAAATAACCCAATCAATAAATGGGCCCAGGACATGAACAGACACTTCTCAGAAGAGGATATACAATCGACCTTAAATTGTGTACTCTTCTGAGTAGTGAGTAGTATGTTGAAATCTTTGGCCACCTTGGCTCTATCCCACCCAGGACATGAATCACCCCCCTTTTTTTAGTGTGTCCACTTGATATGTGCTACCTGCCTGTTAGTCAATCACTAGCTGTCTTGGTTACCAGATCGACTGTCACTCAATTGCAGTACTTGTGTTCAAATTATTTGTATTTTACTTGATAATGGTCCCAAAGCACAAGGTTATATTGATGCTTGTGATTTTACTATAGTATGTTGATACAATTGTTCTGTTTTATTATTAATTGTTGTTAATCTCTTACTGTCTCTAATTTATAAATTAAACTTTCTCATAGGTGCATATATATAGGAAAAATAGAGTACACACGAGGTTGAGTATTCTCGGTGGTTTTGGGCACCCCTGGAGACCTTGGAATTCTTTCTCAGTGGATAAGGGAGGACTACTGTACATAAAATGGGAGCATTCAGGATTAATCAAAGGCTCAGAGAAGAACTCATGTTACAGATGCACAAAATCCCTACCCTGTCTAGTTCCCAAACCGCCACCCCTGCCTGTTAGTTGGACACTAGGAAGAACCACATGCAGAGGGCACAGTAGACCAGTGGCTGGGAAAATGTGTAGAAGGCCCTTTACCTGCTCACTGGAAACAGCATAGCACCTTGAACTTAGAACCAGGGAAAATTTGTTTCCTTTTTTTTTTTCTAAATAAAAAGAACATATTGACCCTGACCCTGACTTTGGAGGCTTTGAGTCTTTTGGGTGAGTCATCTCCACAAACGCATGAGGATTTCCATGCATTATGCTAAGTCCCACCAACACTGACATTTTCTTCTGACTTCAAAGGCCCAGGGTGAATTTAATGCAGACCAGAGGCCAAGCACCCACTTCCAACTGGGAGAACACCAGAACATGTGAAGAATGCCTTCCAGGGGCAGAGCTTGTCCCCCCAAAAAGGGCAGGAAAAGGCAAGAAAAAACCAAGCTTTATCTAAAAAATGGAAACTTTTTTTTATTTTTTTTAAATCAGACTAGATTTTCATTTATTTATTTATTTATTTGGTCAGAATGTTGAAAAATTAGATTTTTTTTAAAGGCACATCATGAAATGTACCTATTAGCCACATCTCTGAGTTCCAAAGGCCATTCATTGAAGGTAGCCTAGAGGCCAGCAGAACCCACCCAAGGTAACAAAGCACCTGCACGTGAGGCCTCCAGAGATTTCTGTCTCCAGATTACAGGCAAATGATCGTCCAAAGTGGAGGGGCCTGTGTCTGTCACATTATGTCCTGGGGGTCACTGTTGTATTATATTTAGTCATTTGGTTCTCTGAGAATGTGCTATTTCACCTAAGAGTGGCATTTCTGGGCTCCAAGGGACAATGGGACTACTAACATAGTTACTCCTTTTCTTAGAGGACTAGGTTTTGCTTTGGGGCTCATTTGCTCTGCAGTGAGGGGTGAGGGCTGCCCTCCAGAAGTGAGTCACCAACACTCCTGCCTCGTAGGTGAGGAGCTGCACAGGAGCTTGGGGAGGTAGCGAAGTGACCCTGCATAGAGGACCCTGGAATGACACTCTCCCTCCTGATTCTACCCATTACAGGGCTGTGTGGGACACCCCATCTCTTTTTAATAATACACACACAGGGGATCCTCAGCTTGCAATGGGGTTATGTCCTCATAAACCCATCACGAGTGGATAATATCATTTTTTAAACAGAAATCATGTTTTTAAATCAGAATTTAATGCATTTAATATGCCTAATCTACCTAACCTCATCGCTTACCAGCAGAGCGCACTGTGAAGTATTGTTATCTCCCCTGGTGGCTGGATGTCTGACTGGGAGCTGTGGCTTGCAGCCATAGCTCAGCATTGCAAGAGAGGATCGTACTGCATACTGCTAGCCTGGGCAAAGATCAAAATTTGAAATTTGCTAGGCTCAATCCCTAGCACCAAAAAGAAAAAAAAAAAAAAGTGTGGTTTCTACTGAATGTGTATCACTCTCACACCATGATGAAGCTACACGTAAACATCCTAAGTCTGGAACCATCTGTACAGTTGCTTATCAGTAGTAGCCTTTTAAAGATGGGCATCGGAACAATTTGCCATGATAAAAGTATCTTATTACGGGCATTTCTTAGGATAGCCAGAACATGGTGACATTACAATGTAGACAAGCACTTGGTCACTTTTGTTTTTAAATTCTGTACAGTGTGCCCTGCCAGTTCCCTCACCCAGGAGAGGCCAGGCCATTCCCCTCACTGCCCTCGGTCATTCAGATCTGTCCCAAGAATGACTATCTTCTTACTTGAATGAGAGCTTCCATGATTGCACTCTCCTTCATGACAAGTCTGGTGCTGAGCATTTTACATGCACCACGCTATTTACAGTCTCTAGACAGCCCTGTGGGGGAAGCGGCATTATCTTCTTTTACAATGGAGTCCTGGAGCCTCAGAGAGAGTCCTGAACAGGACCCGAGAGGACACAGCAGCTCACAGCAGAAAGGGAAACAGATCCAGAATTGCCTAGATCTAAGACCTCACCAGAACCAAAACTCTCTGTAGACTCGAGATAGAGAGAATGGAGGGAACCCGACCTCACTGGGGATCTTGCACACATTTCTGTAATTCTCCAAGGCATCCGGTAATGGAGCACACAGCACAGGGCGGGGTCTGGCTGTTCTGCAATACTCAGACCTGTTTGTGGGTATTTGTGATTGTGTGTGAGTGTGTGAGGGTGTGCATGACAGTGTGTATGTGTGAGCATGTGTGATCGCATTGTGTATGCTGCAGGGTGCCGGGTATATGATAAGATGTGTGTGTCAATGGAGCATGTGGTGAGTGTGTGATTGGGTGTGTGCACATGCATGGATGTGTTGTGGGTGTGAACATGCGTGGATTAGTGAATGTGTGAGTGCATTTGCATGCACAGTACCCGGGCAGAGCCACAGGAGCAGTTCCAAGGTTTCCAGGTCCTAGCAGGGAGAGGGTTTAGGAGAAGCTTGGATGTCTGCAGAGAGGATCCAGGGGTTCTCCCCAGATGTGCAGTGGAGAAGTGGCACCCATGTGGCTCTGTGCCTCCTCCCCTCCAGCACCCAGGCTGCAGTGTCTTGGGGAATTCTGGGCTCCAGAAAGAGAACCAACAGAGAACAAAGTGCAAAAAGTGAAAATGATTGTGTGGGGATTATAAAAATCATCACTCCTTATGTTTTGGTTAAAGGCTGTTGTTATCATTTCTTTTTCAACGGATTAATTAAGAAAGTCTAGGGACGCAATCCCTCGTGGTGTTTCTCAGGCACACGCTGTGTGCATGGAAGAACGACCCACTCATTGAACAGGGATTATTTTTTGGCTGATAAAGGGTTAATCACAAAACCAATTTGCATTAGAAACAGCAAGAGTCAGTGGAGAAAAACAGAGAATCAGATAGGAGAGATTGCTCTGGCCATGTCCTTCCTCTCTCATCCTCCTTGGAATGAAAATGGCCAACAGAGTCTTGGCCATCTATAAAAATCGGAGAAGGCAGTTTCTAAACATTTGAAGCAGTCGTCTCTGGTGACTGCCTTGTCTCGGTCCTCAAGGACTCCAGCCTCCTACCAGGACTGCCTCTAAAGAGCAGAATTAGTTCTGCATTTTGAGGAAAATCAATGGCTGTTCCTTGTCACCTCTAATAGTTAAGCGTCAGTCAAACTGAGTTTTACGCACTGGGAAGGATTTTTAAATTCATGGATTTATAAAAACACACACCCATTCTTTCTGCCTGTCTGTCTCTGTCTCTCTTTCTCCCCAACGTTTCTGTTAACAAGGTTTCAGAGTTGGATAAACACCAGGGGCAGAGAATTTTCATCAGGAGATTCCAGGAAACCGGGAACCAACCCCACAAGCACTGTTCCCCCCTCAGAAGTTACTTACTAGGTTGGCATTTAAAGGAGACCAGGAGGTATTTACTGCTTCCTGGGCAAAGGTCAGGTCCAAAGACACGGCTATTGACCAGGAGGTGGCAGGCCCGCTGGTTCTGGCACTCGTCCAGCACCTTCTAGAAGGAGGGGTAGAAAAGGCACAGGCTTGTGAACGCACACCGTGTCCGCCAGACCCCACACCTGTGCTGCTCCAGGCTCTGAGGAGCGGGGTAGCCTCCCCACCGGGCCTAACTGTGTTCAGGACAGAAGTACCCACATGTGGGTGAGGGCGCTGGCTCCCTGCTCCTTCCCGAAGGAAGAGACCCGATCCAGCAGAGCCAGGACCATCATCTTAGGACCAACACCCAACCAGCTCAGCTGATGCTCTGGTTGATTCCTTTGGCAAAAGTGCTGACTTCCGGAGGCTCCAGGGGACATGGGCAATATCAAGTGTCAAATAGCAATGACGATCAGGAATCATCCATACAGCTCCTCCCCTTAGAAGAAGCTCTACAGTGGGACAGGCAGGGATAGCTGGTCAGTGGGACAGGCCCCAGACACCCCAAGTCTTTCCAGCTCATGACCCAGCAAGAGACCAACAAGTGAAAATTACCGCTAATTCCACCATGATCAGACTCAAGGGTAGAGAGCCCATGTCTCCCTTGTGGAGCAATTTACTCAGTGGGACACTCAGGCACTGTGCTGAGTATTTATTCTAAAGCTTTCCTTCCTCCCTCTCTCTCTCTCTCTCTCTCTCTCTCTCTCTCTCTCTCCCCTGATTTTCCTTTTTTTTTCTAGGCAACTCCTTCATTTGATCACGCATCTGCTCTGTGGAAGCTAATGGACCACCTGATCCTGGGCCATAGAAAGTTCCAGTGTTTTACTGCTATTTTTCCAATTCTTGGTTTCCAAAAGGAACAAACCCTGTCTGTGATTAAACTCAGAGGTCCCAGACTTGAGGACTTGAAGGATGCTGGCTCTACTAGGTGTCACCTGTCACCTCATGGGCCCAGCAGGTATGGACCAATCAACAGAAAGATGCCCAGGGAAGCCCCCAACTCCCCAGGAGGTGTTGCTCTCAGAGGACGATGCATGTTGGCCTGGTCAAGGGTCACCAAAAGTGACTCGGATGTCACAGGACGGCGCCTCGAGGACAAGCTGTGTCCCAGCTGGAAAACACAGAGAGGGGACTTCCTGTTGACGTTAGTCTTGGGTTGGGTCAGTCGTGGTCACCTGAGTGGATGTCAACCTGTCCCCTCTCTCTCTGCCATGAGCAAACTCTCTTGGAGGAAGCACCTTGCCTCTGTTCCCAGCTAAGCTTAAAAGTCACAAAGGAAAGGATCTCTTCTTGATCTCTGGATAAAAGAGCAGGGCACAGGGATGCTTCTGGCAAACAAGCCTCCGAACAGCCTCAGAACAGTGTTCACAAATACTAACTCGTCGGCCTAATGGAACATCCTCTTCCCTCGGGGCACCTGGCCGAGGCAGGAGCTCCCGCCTGCCAGAGTTCATGCTTTCTCAAAGGAGGCACTTCCGGCCTTTGGGCACTGGCCAAAGTACTTATTATGCACCTAAGAGGGCAGCACACAGCTGGACACCAGGGCTGGGTGGGCAGAGCAATGGGAGCAGATCAACAGGGAATCGGGGCCCCTGAGGGGAGAATTAGGGTAGGTTGGGCAAACCAGGAAACTAACTGCTCGCCTCCATCGAAACATGTTGTCACTCATCAGAGTGTGGAAGCCGAGTCAGAGAATTCATTCCAACCCATGCTTTCTGGCCCCGGGTTAATATTTTCACCAACCACGTGACTGCCTGGACACCAAGATTCTTGGAATGAGAGCAATAAATGTGTGTGAAACAGAAGACCCTCCATCTCATCATGATACTCTGCCTCTCCTCTTTGGGCCCTAGGAAGAGGGACACAGCATTGAAGGTCATTCTCCTTCTCTTTAGTTATCTCAGTGAATTTATCTTTATCTGTGTTTTCTATGGCTGACAAAATCAAACTGCTTCTAACTTTCCACCTAAGCTAAACACCCAGCTTTCAGTGTATTCATCTGGAACTTGGGAGTCTGAAAAACATCCCAGGCCAAGTGTCTCCATAATCTTGACCAACTACTTAAAACGCCAGGATTAGTGTATGGAAGTGGCTTGGGTAACTGAAAACCATGGGTAGTCTAAAACCATCAGTGAATGTTAGTTTGCCCTCCCTCTACACCATCTTTCCCCAAAAGGGAATGACTTAGAGTTCCCTCCCCCAATTCCTGGCTCTATCTAGAAGAAAAAATAACTCAGCAGAGGCTGGCTCAATGTAGCTCCAGAGAATAACCAGGACAATGTGATTATCTTGTGGAGAAGCAAGCCACAGTTTTTGATATTCCTCTTCCTCGTATCATTCTCTAAGAAGTTGATCGTAACCTTGTACATCTGCTTCACAGAAACACTCATGGTTTCCACCAAAGAATTCCTTTTTCACTTGGTATTTGTGGGGGATGTGGACCCAGTGGTTGAAGCCCAACTGTGCAGTAAGGAAGATGCCTATGAATAAATTCATATTGCAAATGTCCTAAGGGAGCTCTCCAACAGGTAGGGATTATATGGACTCTGGTAAAGGCCTTTGAGAAGCAAATAATAGCTCACCTGCCAAATAGGTGATTTGTACAAATTGAGATTTTCAAGGACCGGATTTGCTGCACAAATACATATTCAGGGAGAGACAGAGAAAGAGACTGAGAGAGAGAGAGAGAGAGAGAGAGAGAGCTGAAATCATTTTATCATCTTAACACATCTACAAAAGGTAATACCTGCAAGGTAGTGGGTGCCACACAGGTTAAGCTGTCTTCCCTCTGGGAGGCAGGCTGCTGGGAACTACACATTTGGTAATCTTGCCCATAAAATGCCGATTGGACACTGATTGTAGAATGCCGAGGGCACTGCAGATTCAAGTGGTCCCCGTCACAGGCATAGGCGGTGTGGTTTTGCAGGAGTTTGGTTAGGTAACCTGGAAAATATTTAGCTGGGTTATAAGAGGCCCAGGAACCCACCACTCCTTCACAGTTTTGGAGCAGGAAGACATTGGTTCCCCCAGGGAAGGGGCTGCTCAGTCAGGAAGATGTGGGGTGCGGCCGCCATAGCTGCTCCAGCAGAGAAGCCACCGGAAGTGGCCAAGTTGGAGTTCCAGGAGCAGATGCCGGTTTTCATGTCTGGGCCAGAAACCGTGGTCTGGGGTGGCCCACGGTGAGGCTCTGAGGGCTCCCTTCCCTCAGGAAGCAGAGGGGACAGGCCAGGAGCCAAGGAGTCTGGAAGTACCCCTATAAAGGAGGAAAACATGCTGAGTGGGAGTCCCCCAGCCTGTGGATGCCTGTCCTGAGGGACACCAGGCTCTCTGCTCTCCCAGGCCTTGCTGGGGTGAGGGGATGCAGTTTCACTTTGGGAAACTTCTCCAGGGCCTGTCCCCACCCCTGCTGGAGAGGAAAGCCAGGTGGCCCCCTGCCCTGTGTAGGGCAAGCTGGGAAGAGTGTGGGAGGAGAGAGGGGGAAAGGATGGTGGGGTTTGCTGTGGGTTGAATATGGCCCCCTGAAGGCAGATGTTCTCCAGGAACCTCGGGACGTGACCTCATTTGGAAATAGGGTCACCACAGACATAATTAGTTAAAATGAGGTCACACTGGGGTAAGGAGGTCCCTTGCTACCACTTGTCCTTATAAGAGGAGAAGGAACACAGAAGACAGCTGAGTGAAAACTGAAGGGACATCTACAAGCCAAGGAAGGCCAAGGACTGCCGGCCACCACGGGAAGCCGGGAGAGGCAAGGAAGGAGTATTCTTTGGAGCCTTAGGAGAGAGCGTGGCCCTGCTGATGCCTGGACTCCAGACTTCTGGCCTCCAAAATGTGGGGAGAACGAGTTTCTGATGTGTTTGGCCAATTTACTGCAGCAGTCAGAGGAAACTAAGATGGGCTCCCAGTCTGGGCCTCCTCAGCGACTTCTCAGGCAAGTTGGAGGAGCTGTCCTGGGCAGGAAGTCTGAGGAGCCCTGACCATAGCTGGCCGGCACAGGCCCTGGACCATTTCTCAGAAAGGAGGAAGGAAGGTTTATCCAAAATGGAGATTCCCTTCCTCCTTCTCACACCTCACGAGGTCGACAGCCAGGCTGCTGGGAGCAGAGCCAGGGACTTTCTGGTGAGGTGTGTGGGAGACGCAGTGGGCAGCCCTCGGCCTCTGAGAGGGAGGAGTGAAGGACAGCTTCAGAACGCCCGGTTCCCACACCGATGACCCCTGCTTACGTCGCTCCATTCAGGTTTCAAAATCCTCCCAGGAATGTGATTTCTGGCCAAATCAGTTCCCTGAACTTCCTGGAAACTCACAGTCCAAGGGATTGAGATAGTCTGGCCTGGGGTCATCCCATTCACCCATCTAGAATGTTCTGAAGAGGCTGCGAACACCTACAAGCACACTTAACCCAGGCCTTGGGCTCCCTCTAAACTTTTATTTCCACCCTTGAAACCTTAAAACATCCCACCAGTATGTACAGCTATAAGGCACAAATAAAAAAAAAGAAAGAAAACCATCATGAGAAGGACCACAAATTCAACTACCCTGAGTGAATCCCCTTGGAGGGGCAAAGTCTAACCCTAACCCTAACCTAACCCTAACCCTAACCCTAACCCTAACCCTAACCCTAACCCTAAGGGGCACCAGGCACCAGTGTGTCTGAGTCCGGCACAAACAGCCAACATCACCATCGTGGTGCACCTGGCCACACACATCAGAGGCCATGCTGAGGCCCTCCAAGGTCCTGAGCCCTGGGCCAGGGTCTCCCTGAAGGGCACCCAGGTGGACCCTGACAAGGTGAAGGACACTGGCCATTCCAGTCTCCTTTGTGGGATCTCACTATGAGCCACATGCTGCTTCCAGGGACCCAGGGTCACACTGATGCTACCTCTAGGCCAGCACCCAAGACTGTGAGCCCACCACTTAGTTCTCGCTCTTCAGACTTCTTATCAAAAGCTTCTTGTCCATGACTGTATCATTCCCAGGACCCTGATGAGTGACCAGCTGGCTACCATACCCAGGTGATTCTAAGAGCATGACTTTGGCTCAAAGTTCATGGTCTTTCCAACGGAATTGTGTGTTATCCAGCTACATGAAAGAAATGACAAGACCCGGGGGCTATGGAGCCACAAGGCAGGAGGGACCTTGCTCCACATTCCTGGACAGAAGGGGTGCCTGCTCCACAGACT